AATTCATCAGTCAGTCAACAAGCGTTTATTGCACGAATGAATTCAAAAGCATATGATGGTGACTCACTGTGCTAAGTTCTGGAGACACAAATGCAAAAGAGAGTCAGCACCTGCCCTCAAAAAGCTTGCAGTCTAATGGAATAAAACAACACTGCACGTTGGTATGGAACGCTACAGGGATGGTGAGAGGAAGCCACGGGGCAAGAGAGATCCCTTTTCTGGAAGGAGTGATCATTTTGATCTGATTACAGCAAAAGGAGAGCTCTACAAGGTAGACAGAGAGAAGACCTGGGTTCAAATCCTGACTCTGACACATCCTGGCTAGGGGACCTTGGGGAAGTCCCTTAGACTCTTAGTGCCCCAGAAAGCTCCCTAAAAATACATGGTCTCCAGGCCACATGTGGCCCTCTAGGTCCTCAAGTGTGGTCCTTTGACTGAATTCAAATCGTAGCCTCAAGGTCACAGGTTCTTCACCCCTGGATTAGAAGTTGTAGAGAAGATGCTGACCTGCATTGGGAGAAATTCTACCAATGAAATCACAGATCTAGCCTCTGTTAAGTTCCATATTTGTCAGTTACTATTACTACTGTTAGACCCAATGAAATACCTTCCTCCTCCCCCCTCTATTTATCTGCATTTTTATCCATCCTTCAAGGCCAGTTCTCAGGCCCACCTTCTCCATGAAGCTTTCTTGGCTAACCACTCCAGCCCAACACCCCTCCCTTCTCTGACCTCCTACTTGAATTAGAGTTGGCATCATACATTTCAATATTCAATTACTCTCTCATTCTTTTCTTTTTTTAAGGTATCTCAGGCTCTTAGCCTCACAGATGTCAAGCTGGATGAGCCCCAGAGGCCATGTGGTTGAATGCCTTTATTTAACAGATGAAAAAACTTGAGCTCAGACAAATGAAGTGACTTACTTAAGGCGGAAAACATTCAAGGTGGGTTTTGAACCCAGGTTCTCTGACCCCAGAGGCAGGGCTCTGTTCTGTAAAATAAAGGGCTCACGTCAAAGAGCCTTTGAAGGACCTTCTGTCTATGATCTCATGGAGTCTCTTGACTTTCCTGCACCTCAGTTTCCTGACTTGTAAAATAGGAGGATTGAGCAAGATGGCCCTTCCAATGCCTCTTCCAAGTCTAGATCTAAGATCCCATGATTCCCTGTACCAACAAATTCCCAACAAATACTCACTGCTTCACTGATATTCTTTCATGGTTTTCTACAGTACCTTGGTAGAGATCAACCTAAGGTGAGCATTGGACAGAACTTTGGAGAGGATGGTGATCTGGGCCCAATGGGTGCCTCCTGTTGGCTAATCTCTAGACTACAGATACTGAGAAGTCAAGGCAGGTCTGAGTGGGGGAAGGAGGTGTTGAGCTGTCAAGTTTTCCAAACTACCTTTGGTTTAGTGTTGGGGTTCTTAGCTTGGGGTCCAAAGACCCCCAATCACGGAGATTTCAGGAGTCAGTGAACTTGGACCGGAAAAATAGTGGCATCTTCATTTTCACTGACATTTGCTTTCTCTTGTAATCTCATTTTATTTTATTCATTTGAAGAAAGATTATTCCAAGAAGGAGTCCACAGGCTCCACCAGATTACCAAAAATAGTTAAAAGCCTCTGACTGACTGAGAACAGACAAAAATTTTTTTTTTATAAATTTGAAGGACATTTTTAAAAACAGGCAATGTTCTCCCTGGAAGTTTCGGACTTAGGGCCTATTATTATCCTGTTAATTGCTGTCTCTTAAATCTTTCATCTAAGATTAGTTCTGGTACTATTAAATGACCTCACCATACAGCTGCCAAAATGATTTGTTTAATGGGATAACGGCAAGTGTCATTCTTCTCTATTCCTCTGAAAACAGTATTTTCTATGTGTAAAGCCTTCATCAAGGGCCTACTTTTAAATACCAGGTGATCATTTAAATCGTTTTTCATCCAGAGATCTTTTTATATTCAAAACATACTGGAAAATTTCACCAGTGCATCTTTTCCCCATTGTTTAAATCACAACCATGATGAGTCTCCTTCAGAAAATGGAATCTCTCCCCTGCCCACTGAATATCTTGCGTGCCGTCTTGGAAGATGCTGACATTTCAGAGGAGTCAAGGACTAGACAAGGACTCTCGAGCTGCAATTCTGGCACATTAATGACCGCAGGCAAGAAGAAAATGGTGGGAGATGATTTCCAGTTTCCTTGTCGTGTGTGAGGGGAAGGGACAATTCCATCAGGGATGCTTACTGGAAGTCGGGGGTGGGGGGAACCAGGGATGAAGTTGGTAAGCAAGGGCGGAGCAGAGAGGCAAGCCAGGTGACATTGGGGATGTAATTAGGAATAACTAATAATAATAATAGTTAATTTTTAAATAGCACTTTAAGGTATGCAAAAGACTTTGCATGTTACCTCATCTGATCCTCACGACCCCTCTGGGACATAGATACCATTATTATCCTCACTTTACAGATGATGAAACTGAGGCTGAGCTCTTGAGAGACTTGCTCAGGATCATACAACCAGTATGTGTTGAGGTGAGATTTGAACCCCGATCTTCCCAGTGTTCTCTCCACACTCTGCCTCTTATAGTAGACACAATAAATTCCTACTGATGGAGGGATATCATTTTGTTGTTATATGTTTCTACCCATTGTTCTCCCATGTGGGTCTCTATTTTTTTACATATTTTTTTATCTAATATTTTCCCTCAATTACAGATCCCCATTTTCTAAGTGACCTTGGAAACATTTTGGGTTTTGTCCATTTTTTTCTTGGCTTTCTCACTCCACCAAAAACAGCTTTTAAAGACTCACGAACAAGGGCGTGCTGGGAAATGTTTAACAACCAGATCTCCCAAACCATCACGGGACACTGTGGGTTTCATCTGTATTATTAATATTTTTCCCATCACTTATTCAAGGCTAGACAATTAAGAAAACAATAAATGAAGCCCTGATTTATAGCACTTGCTGATTTCCTCGGTTTAAATGCTCATATTGAAAATTTAACAGTCAGCTCTCAAGAAACAGTACAAGTTGGCCCCGGCACACCGCTGCTGACACAGTGCCCTTGACCATAGCCAGCTCTTAACAAACAGCATCATCGAGTGATAAGCAAATAGCTCAGAAATCCACCAATTACATTCCCACCTCAGGGTCCAGAAGGGGTTGAAAAATTAAGGGAAGACAAATTCTCAGGGGTAAATGAGTTTGGGGTTTTATCCAGTGTGCTTTGGTTTGGGAAATACTTCCAGATGTTGACCAACCCTAAACCGAGGCTGCTTTGCTCATTTCTGCTTTAGGAGATGTCACCCTCTGATTCAGGAGTGGAAGCACCAGGGAGCCTAGATCCTTGGCCTAATTTAATTAGAATAATGACAAGCATCTTATCTATTTATGTTGGCTTTTTTTTTTTCAGAAGGTCTCAGAATTGCTTCTTACCCATCATTATCCTTTTCTCTATCCACCTCTAGGAGGCAGGGGTAAAGGGTATTACATCGGTCATCATTTACCAGTAAGAGGCTTGGGGGTGGATGATTTGCTAGTCACAAAGATCTGGGTTTGAATGCCAATCTTTTTGCTTACTGCCTGTGGGACCCTGGGTATGGGACAGCCAAGGGTGCAATGGAGAGAATGCACTTAGCACAGTATCTGACACATAGAACACAAATAGAATGCTTCTTCATCAATCCATCCCTCCATCCATTCCTCCCTCCCTTCATCCATCCCTCCATCCATCCCTTCATCCATCCATCCATCCCTCCATCCATTCGCCCTACAACGATTTCTTCATCTTGGTACAGAGGGAGAGACTATGGGAGTGGAATTTTACACCCACTATTGGATAGTCATTTTGCCAGTTTCACTTAACTATTCTTCTTCATTAAAAATGGCAAGAGGCAGGTCACTGCAGCAGGAAACATGGGAGCATCAATTTCACCTCAGATTTCATCTAGCACAACCTACTCATTTGACAGGAATGACTGTCACATAAAAAACAGATGACATCAAGGAAACTTTACAAAACCCTGCTATCCCAATGTGTGTGTATATGACTGTGGAAACTGGGGAAAATCTGATTAGAAAAAGGTCTGTAGTTAACGTTCATTGAGAGGCAGTATGATTTCATGGCGGAAGTCAGGAAGATCTAGGGTTCGAATCCTGCCCATGGCACAGACTACCTGGGAGACACCGGACAAGTCATTCAGGTACCATTTTGGGGTTCCAGTCAACTCCCTAAGACCATAAACTGCAAAAAAGGTCAAACTTCACTGGGAGAGGGAGCTTCCTCCTCTGAGAGTTCCTTATATTAATGTAATCAACAATCCTGACCAAGTTTAGTTCACAACCCAGTTACAAGTTGAAAACAGTATAAAGGTTGTACAGATATTATTGACCTCAAGCTTCTGGGGCTTGTCATATGCCCTCACAGACAGTTTGGAAATATGGGGCCATTTGTTTTATATCACAGGATGAACTGTATTGGGAAAAGGGTAGGGATGGAAGAGTTAAGAGGGGAGGCCCCTTCCAACGTTTGTCAGCTTTTCCTGCCTTCACTGGTTTAGATAAAAACAAATAAACAAATAACCAAATAAATAAATAAATAACCAAATAAATAAATGGATGGATGGATGATGACAGCAGCTAACATTTATATTGGACTTTAAAACTCGTAAAGTACATTACAAATATTATCTTATTTCATCCTCACAACAGCATGAGGCAGGTACTATTATCCTTCCCCATTTTACAGATGAGGAAACTGAGTCTGAAAGAGGTTAAGAGACAAATGTCTTGTGTAAATTAAAACACACATGAAATGCTTGCCCGCCTATCTGAGCAGTGACAGAGCATTTGGAAAGAAAAATGGATGGAAATGCCCAGGGGGTAAGGGGAATCTTAACTACTTAAGCCCCTGCACTGTGAGGCTGGCCACACACCGGCTGGTCCATGAGCGCCATCATGATGAGACTCTTCCCAATGAAAGATGTTCATTCCTTACCGGATAACCCTCTGTCTTCTTCTGACACCATTTCAGCAATGCATTCCGCTTGGAGCCGCCATATTCCCGGGCTAGGGCAGCCAATGGATCCTTCCTTTCCACACTAAGGTTAGAGAAAACACAGGGGAGTCAAGATGTTTGGTAGCACTGTCAACAATATGCTTGCTAATGAGCACCTAAAGAAAAATAAATCTAGACTCATCCATGCCAACTGGGCTAGCACAGTTCAACAGACATCTTTCAAAGGGCTAATTAATGGGAATAAGGAAATGAATTCACTGGTGATTATTGGATACCAGTTCTGTGTGAGGGGACGGTATCATTGTTGGGCTAAATTTCTTTTTTTGAACCAAAACTTAGCACTTTCAGTGATACTCTGGAATTGCAAAGAATGATGTGATTGGGCACAAATAACTATAGAGTTCTACCCCTTCCCCTCCTGGTTCTCTACCAGTTACCAATATTGATACTAGATTTCATTCAACCTTACCTTGTTCAAATAATGAGTGTATAGGATTACCCAATGTCTCTTACCCAGAATATGTCAAACTCAAAATTCTATTCCTACAGTTGTTGATAGCTCATATTTACAGGTTTGTGAAGCACTTTATGTATATTATCCCATTTGATAATTAAAAAAACATAATTATCAATTTTACTAATATTGTATTTTGTAGAAAGCAAAAGCATGTTAGGATGGGAGCATTTTAGTGCACTAACTCAAATACACACACAGCAACAATGACAAAGGGGAGAGTGTTAAGAATCAGATGTGTGGTGGTGATCATGCCATAGTAAGGGCAGAAAGAACACAGGGGAAATGTAGTTTGTGAACCTCTCAATATCTGTAGGCAGATGATTTTAACTGTTAATGTAATCAGGGTTTCCAAAGGAAGAAATTTCCAAACAGGACAGTGGGGATGTGGAAGCAAGAAGTCTGACCCTGGATTGGTGTTTTTAATTGGCTTCAGCGAATGACTTTCCTCTTGATTTCTGTGGGTTCACCCCACCTGCCCTCTATTCTACATTATAGTCCTTTGCACATGAACACATTTCTTATTAGGAGGCTATAGGGTGCAACATTTTAAGAATACTGGATAGAGAGTCAAAGGACATGGGCTTCAGATCCCAGCTCTGTCAGTACCTAGCTATATGACCTTGAGTTTCTCATCTGTAAAATGAGGAAGTGTGATTAGATGACCTCTAAGGTACCTGTTAGCTTTAAATGATTCATCTATGGTCCCTTATGATTCATCCCACATACTCCAATATAATGTGTGGTCTCCCTTGGCGGAGTATCAGCTCCATGGGGACAATTCCTTCACGACTTTGTCTGAGCCTGTCTTTCTGGCTCCTCTGGATGTGACTCCCCCTCTCACACTCTGCGATCCAGCCAAACTGGCCTTTTCTCTGTTTTTCACATGTCTCATCTCCCATTTCCATGTCTTTACACTCCATGTCTGTCCCCTGGAATGCCATCCCTCTTCACCTCCACTTTGTAGAATTCCTCTCTTCCTTCAAGACATAGGTCAAGCACCATCTTCCAGCTGCTAACGCCCTCCCTTCCCCACTACCTTGTATTTATTCTGTTTATATTTATTCCGAATAGACTTATCTATGTATTGCTGTCTTCCTCCGACAATGGAAACTCCTTGCGGATAGAGATTACTGCACTGCATCTGTAACCTGGTACCTGTCACATAGTAGGTACTTTATAAATGCTTGTTGATTGATGTGCATCTCCCCAAGGTCTTTTGCACACAGTAGGCATTTAATAACTGCTTGATGAATGACCAAATGACAGAATGAATGAATGAATAAACAGCAAATAACATTTGCTACATCTCTTCATGCACTGTGTAATTTGTATCATAAGCAATATAGCAATACTATGTATTCCTCTGGGCCTTATGTCCACTCTACTGCCTAGGACACATTCATCGAGATGGGCTCACTCTCAGAAGGACTTGCTTTGAATCTCTAAATACAGTGGTGGCAAGGTGGTGCAGTGGGCAGAGTGTTAGACTAGGTGTTAGGAAGGGCCAAGTTTGAATCCCATCCCTAACTCTAGCTGCGTGACTCTGGGTAAATTAATTAATCCATCTGAGCCTCCATTTCCTCATCTGTAAAATGAGGGTGTTAAAACTTGACGGTCCCTCAGGTCCGTTCCACCTCTAATCTATAAACCTATAAGTGAGCCTACTGGACATAAACAGAAAAATGATGGGAAATCTGGGGCTCTGAAAGACGTTGGGCAAGTCACGTCCCCTCCTTGTGTTCTCTCATGTGTGAAGTGAGGGAAGCTAGACTAGATGGGTGATCTGTTTGAATCCCCACAGCTGATCTCCCACCATTAGTGGGACCCAAGTCAGGAGCATCCCAGGAGGGAGGCTGACCTGGCTGGACCTAAGCATTCTCGCTGAGAGGTTGTGGGTCGCGGGCGTGAAGACCTCCACGGAGCAGCGGACAGAGCAAGGGCGGCTGGGCAGCAAGAAGGGCCCTGTTGACGCTGGATGCCGGGAGTCTGCAGTGGGACAGGTTGATAACAAGGTCGTATTTTGGTGGTGAAAGCAGCAGCCAATGGTTCGGGGCATCTGGGGGATATGCTAAAAGTAAGAAAAACTACACTTGTCCCAGAGGACAGAATTAGTAAAAAGGAGGGCAAGTCACAGGAGGCAGATGTCAGCTCTTCACCTTTGCTGTGTCATGGGCCCCTCTGGCAGCTTGGCAAAGCCTGCAGACCCCTTCTCAGAAGAATGTTTCTAACTGCATAAAATAAAATATGTAGGATGACAAAGGAAACCAATTTGCTAGGCGGTTCGGTGGATAGAGCGCTGGGCCTGGAGTGAGGAATACCTGAGTTCAAATCCAGCCTTAGACACTTACTAGCTGTGTAACTCTGGGCAGGTCACTTCACCCTGTCTGCCTCAGTTTCCTCATCTGTAAAAATGAGCTGGAGAAGGAAATGGTGAACCACTCTAGGATCCTTGCCAAGAAAACTCCAAGTGGGGCCACAAAGAGTTGGACGGGACTGAACAACAACACCATGATCAGGTTTATAGGCTTCCGTCTGAGACCCCTGTTCTAACAGTCTGAGCTCTCCCAAAGTAGAATGAGATGTGTTGAGAAGTGAGGGTGGTTCTCCTTTGTTGGAGAACTTTGAGAAAGGGCTAGGTTGCCATTTTTTAAAGGAGCTTTGAGAAGGGAATTCTTGTTCAGGTTAAAGGTTGGACTAGAAAGTGACCTCTGAGGTCCCTTCCAAATCTTTGGTTTGGTTTGTTTCTTCAGTCCGGAGGCATGGATGCATGTTCCCTTTACCATCACAACATGCCAATGAACGACGTGGTGAAGATGACTACCCCTTTTCAACAAAGCTGCAAAGTGAGGCACAGTAAAGTGAACTCAGTCACCATGCCCTATCAAACAGTGAATCAGCCACTCCCTCTTTAAGGCGCTATCCATTACACCACACTGCCAGTCAATGTCAATCAACAACATTTATTGAATCCCTACTGTGTGTAGGGAACTAGATGCTATAGGGAGAAGTGGAAGGAACAAAAGACAGAGTCCTGCCCTCAAGAAGTTCACAATCTAATGGGAAAGGTGGGGGGGATGGAATATACACACATGAAAATACATGAGCATGCAGACAACATGAATATGAAAAAATGGAAAAAAATACAAGACAATTTAGATAAAACACAGGACAAAACAGCAGTTGTGAAAATGGTAAAGTTTCCTGGGAAATCAACCAGACAGTTGGACCAACCACCTGAGAAGGCTGACCAGGGATTAGAAAAGGCTCTTCCCATCTCCGAAGTCCTAGTCATTGGAATCAGGAAGGGCAGGATTTGGGCACAACTAACAGAAGTGGCGATGAGACTTTGGTGAGGTGCCAACCAGGTTGTTAAATGAGAGCAAGCAATACACATTCAGCAGGAGGCAGAGACCCAGGTCAGTGCATTAGGCACATCACGAAACACACACAGCTGGAGTCACAAGACAACTATTGGGTCAGTGAAAGGAGAGTAAGTTGGAATTTGGGGAGCAACAAAAGACCTCAGAACTTGGCACGGCGGCAGCGATGGGGACTCATGTCTCCCACTGCGGAGCAGAGAGGTGGACGACGCCGGGAGCAGAGTGAGGCACACGTTGTCAGAGGTGGTCACGGCATTGATTTGTTTCAGCTTAATTGTACTTCACTGTTAGAAGGGAAGGTTCTATTGGTGGAGGAGGAGGGGATCCATTGGGAAGGGCCAGATGTGCAAAAGAAAAAGCATCAGTCCATTTTTATTTTTTAAGACTGGAGGACCAGTGGTTTTGGGTAGTGGAGGAGATGCCATATTCCTTTCCAGTCTCATTTGTGAAGTACTGTGCTTGGCCACTGGCCAGCTCTCATAGATGCTGGAGGATGATGAGTCCTAATCTAAGACTGAGGGGCAGCTAGGTGGCGCAGTGGATAGAGTATTAGTTCTGGAGTCAGGAGGACCTGAGTTCAAATCCGGCCTCAGACACTTGACATTTACTAGTTGTGTGACCCTGGGCAAGTCATTTAACCCTGATTGCCTCATCAAAAAAAAATCTAATCTAAGACTGGTGGAGCTCATCAGGGAAGGCACTGTGAATGAAGGATGTGTGCATGCGTATGCGCGTGTGTGTGTGTGCGTGCACACACGTGTGTGTATATACATGTGAAAGAAAGAGAGAGAGAAAGAAAGAAAGAAGAGCAAGAGAGAGAGAGAGGGAGGGAGGGAGAGGGGCACATCAGTGAGATGAAGTGCGTGCGCCATGTGTCGAAGCTGCAGAGGAAGCCAAAAACCTCTTAGAAATGAGGCTAATGTGGGAGGGTTGGTCAAGGAGGAGCAATGGTGCAGACAGAGAGCTCCAAAAGCCAACCTCAGTACTCTGGATTGGAAACCAATAGGGAGCCAAGGCTAACTCTTGAGTGAGAACAGAACATGGTGTTTGCAGAGTACCCAAATGGTTATAGATGGCAACAGTCAGGACAAGGAGAGATCTTGGGGGAGGCCCATGGATTTAGAGGGGGAAGGAGCCCTAGAGGTCCTCTAATCCAAACCCTCTCATTTTAGAATTGAAACTTGAGGCCTGGAGGCCACTTCCTTCAAAAGCATTTCCTGACCTCCTCTCCCATCAGTGTGTATTTATTTTGAACATATCCTACATTTAATTATCTGTGAACATGTTGTACCTCCCCAGCAGAATCAATCCATCAGCAAGTGCTTATCAAGCACAGAATGAAATAATCTCTACTACCAAGGAGTTTATATCCTAACAGATTTTTGCTAGAATGGAATCCAGTTTCTGCCTTGGGGCCTTCCTAATTTCTGTTGTTACATCCCCAGCACCTAGCAAAGTTCCTAGCACGCAGTAGGTCCTTACCATAGCACCTAGCAAAAAAAATTTGCCTGGCACACAGTAGGTGCTTACTAAATTTGTGTTGACTGATTGATAAGGAGAGACTACACAGATGGTGATGCAGGAATGTAGGATGAAGGCAGCGGCTGGAAGGAAGAGACAGGCAATTAGGCAAAGAACAGGATGATAGAATGGGGGTGGGGTGGGGGTGGTTTTGAAAGGGAAGGAACAAAATCACTCTGTGGCTGTGAGAAAGAGAAATGGAGGTAACCAGAGTCAATGGGATATAGGAAAGGAAAGAGAGAAACAATGGGCTCTGTTTTTGACATGCTAAGTTTTAACTGCTTAATGGAAGAGCCAAATGCAGGCAACCAAAGGCACAGTTTCAGAGTGAGGTTAAAGGCTGTGTGCAGATTCAGGCTTATGGCACAGACGAGAGAATCATGAACACAGAGGTGGTAAGAGATCCGGGGAAGTAGACAAATTGCCCAATGATATCAGCATAAAGAGAGAAAAGAAAAGAGCTTTAAATGATGCTAATGGTTATAATAGGTAGGAAGCCAGGAAAGAAAAGAATGGTCTGAAAAATGACGTGTGTGTCCTTCAGGATGGGCTCACTAATTAAGTCCACACCTACCCTGACTACTGATCTGTAACACGTGAAATCCCATCTCCCACCTCCAGGACTTTGCCCAGGCAGTCGTCCATGCCTGGATGGTCTCCCTCCACCCCTGTACCTCTTAGGATCTTTGCCTTTCGCCAAGACTCAGCTCATACACCGCTTTCTTCAGGAGGCCTTTCCTGGTCTCCTCTGCTGCTGGTGTCTGCCTCCCATCTGCATTGCACTGATCTTGTATGGGCACCTGACCTTTCCATTAGACTGTAAGCCCCTTGAGGGCAGGAACTGTTCTGGGTTTTCCTTTTTCTTCCTTGGTACATAATAAGAACTTAATAAATGCTTGAGGATTGATTGGATAATTGCCTTACATATGGCAGCATACTGGCAGAATTAAACTGAATTAAGTCTCACTCAATACATATTTGCTTATGAAGTAGCTAAGATGAGACACTAGGAGAGCACAACAGCACGGAAGCCAGGGGAAGACAGAGTTTCAAGAAGAGGGGTGAAAGGCAACAGCAGAAAGTGGAGCAGAAAGGCCAAGAAGGATGAGAAGAGGGAAGCGGCAGCAGACTTTGGCCAAGAGTGGATTAGTCTGGAGAAAGGAATGGAGGGGATGGAAGGCAGACCAGATGGGTCAGAGGAGCAAGTGCTGAGGGAATGGAATCTGGAGGGCAGCCCCTCCATTAGTGGAGGACAGAGGCAGCAGGGAGCAAGCTGGCAGTGGAAGGGAGAAAGAGAAGGAGAGGGAGGGAGAGGGAGAGGAAGAAAAGGAGGAAGAGGAGGAGAAGAAGAAGGAAGAGGAGGAGGAAGAGAAGGAAGAGGAAGAAGAAGAGAAGGAGGAAGAAGAGAAGGAGAGGGAGGCAGAATAGGAGGAAGAAGAGGAGGAGCAGGAAAAGGAAGAGGAGGGAGAGGAAGAGGAGGAAGAGGAAGAGGAGGAGGAGAAAGAGAAAGAGAAGGAGGAGAGAGAGAGAGAGAGCAAGTGAACTTGTGTGTGGCTGGTTCCCTGATGGGCACACAACACCCAGATTCTGATGACGATACTCAACGCTTCCCTTTCTCCATTCTTGAAGAAGCTCTTCCCAGCTGAGCACTAGCTGCTCTCTCGTTTCGCTTACAAAAGAGACAGTGTGGCCCACATCCTCTGTGATTGAAGTTACAGAGCATAGCTAAACAGCTGGCCAGACCCTGGATGCTGTGTGAGCAGGGAAGGGTTACATCGGGAGTGATTAAATTGGAATGGGTATCGGAAAAGGCTAGGAAGCAAGGTTGGAGAACAGTGACCGTGTTTTTCACAGCGGAAGTTAGCGCCGAACGCTTTTTTGACTTTCTCATCATCTACAGCTTGGTACCTGAGTTTGCTCTGTGGTTTCAAGCCCCCAGGGGTAGGGGTCAGCAACCTGGCCTGACTGAAGCCCAGCGAAGGGGGTCTGCTCAGGGACTCGAGTGATGGGCTCTTACGGAGGTAATGGTCAGGCTTCAGGTCCTCGTTTCTTCCCTTTAGGATGTCTGTGTAAACAACAACAACAAAAATCACCCATTGGGGACACAGAGGGATCAGCTAGGCAATCATTTTTCCTGCCCTAATGTGAGTCTTTAGCCAGCACAGACACGGGGCATCTGACGGGCATCTGAGCTGACAAGTACATTCACTGGAAACAAATCTTTTCTAGAAGAAATCGCATCAGAGAAAGAAAGTTTAGCTAGTCATTAGAAGGAGGAGAGTTGGGAGAATAAAAAAGTCTAGTAAATTACCTACCATTTAATACCTGAGGAAGGTAAAATTTGTGCAGATGAATCACGGGAAATCAGGGCCCCACTGGGGAAAAGTGGGAGAAGAGACCCTTCTCTCCCACTAACTAGATTGGCTCAATGGGTCAGTCTTCTTTTCACTCTAATGTTCACTGGTGGCAAAACCACCCCACCACTTCTGATCAGAGGAAAAGATCACAGGATTATAGATTTAGCGCTAAAAAGGGACCTGAGAGGTCATAGGATGATAGGTTTAGGGCTGGAAGGGACCTTAGGCATCATAGGAGGCAGCTAAATGGTACAGTAGAAAATGTTGGATTTGGGAGTCAGGAGGACTTGAGTTCAGATCTGGCCTCAGATGCTTACTAGCTATATGACCCTGGGCCAGTCACTTAGCCTCTGTTTGCCTCAGTTTCCTTAATTATAAAATAGGGATAATATTAACATCTAGAGGCAACTGGGTGGATAGAATGCCACTCCTGGAGTCAGGAATACTCATCTTCCTGAGTTCAAATCCAGCCTCAGACATTTACTAGCTGTGTGACCCTGGGCAAGTCACTTCACCCTGTTTGCCTCAGTTTCCTCACCTGTGAAATGAACTAGGGAAGTAAATGGCAAGCCACTCCAGTATATCTCCCAAGAGAACCCCACACGGGGTCACAAAGAGCCAGACATGACTGAAACGACTGAACAAAAACAGCAACAACAGTGTTAGCATCTACCTAACAGGACCGCAATGAGGGTCAAAGGAGATGACACATATGAATCACTCTGCAACCTTTAAAGTCCTATGTATTGAGATAGCTATTATTTATTATTAACAATCTTAGGATAATGTCAATATTATAATATTTATAATTATATTAATGATATTATTGTTGTTATATTATAGGATCATAGGTTTAGAGTCCAAAGGGAACTTAGGTCACCCAATCCAATCCCTTTGTGTTATAAATAATGAACCTAAGGGACAGCTAGGTGATGCAGTGGACAGAGCACTGGCCTGGAGGTAAGAGGGCCTGAGTTCAAATGTGACCCTAGACACTTACTAGCTCTGGGACCCTGGGCAAGTCACTTGCCTCAAAAAAAATTTTTTTAATGAACAGAAGGTCCAGCCAGATGAAACGATTTGCCCAAGATCAAACAGTAAATGACAGAGCTAGGATTTGAACCCAGGACCTCTTACTTCAAATCTAGGGCTCTAGATTTCCACTTCTTTACCTTGCCCTAGAAGAAGGCAGTGAAAGAGAGACTGAGATGAATTTTTTTTTTTTTGCTTTTTGGTGAGGCAATTGGGGTTAAGTGACTTGCCCAGGGTCACGCAGCAGTAAGTGTCAAGTGTCTGAGGCTGGATGTGAGACAAAATTTCTTAAAAGAATCATGAAATTTCCAAGCTGAAAGGGACCCTCTAGGTCACTTAGCTCAAACCTCTGAATTTTATGATGGAGGACAACTGAGACCCAGAACTGGAATCCGATCTTGTCTCCCATTCTGTCCCCCAGTCCACCCTGCTTCTTTTGGGTGCCTGAAAGCAAGACCACTCCCTGGAACCCATCACAGAAAAGGACATAACCAAACGTATCCTGCAACCCTTATTTTGGCAAAATGACATTGGGGTAACCAGCTCATAAAGAGCAGAGACAAAGAGGGAGCCACGGAGAATCGTGGGGCAGCCACGAGTCCTGAGACCCCGATGCTCTTAACCTCAGCGTCCAAAAAGCAAGCACCCTTCATGGGCTGGGCCCTTGTCAGCAGAGTAAACAGGGTTCTACCGGTGCAGAGGGGTCTGGGAGGAAGGGAGAGGAAACACCACAAGCTGTTTACTCAATGGCGATGGCCCCCTGTGGCCTCCACCGGGGCGTTCATCTCAGCAATTAGGATAATGGCTCTCCTATGTGATAGACTGGCCATCAAGAAAGTGAAGTCATCTTCCTTGAGTGAAGAGGAAACAAACACTCAGACCAGAGAAAAAAAAGACGAGGGTATCTGAGATCCAGGGACAGATTTCATTGGTTGAGGCATTCTCTCCATGGATGTGGCTTCTAACGACCAGCCTCTCCTCAACCTTGGAGGGGGCCTTCCAAAGTAGCTGTTGGCTCCCTGCTCCATTATTCTTGCCTCAAAAATTTCACCAGTGGGCAGGGCTATCTCCACTACCAACAGAGAGAGCAAGATTTTGTAGATGGTCTTGGAGAGATGTTGGGGCTGAAAAATTCATGACCCCTCGTCCAACCTGCTGGTGAACCTCTCCTTGGACAACACACATGCAGTATGGTCAACAGAGTTTTTCTGCTTGGCTCTCACCCTGCCGGTATGGCCTTTGGTATGGGTCATCTCCACATCACGAGGAGGCACTGGAGGATTTTAGTAGAGGGTGAGTCATTAACACATATTACGTTGAGATGGTAAGGTAAAGATCCTCCAAGCTGGCATTGAGAAGGGAATATTTCCCTCAACCTAACCTACAGGCACAGTTTCAATTAAGAACTTCTCATAGACTACGATTTGTTCTTTTTTTGAAAAAAGGAAAAAAAAAGTTCCCAACACATCTTCTGGGAGGATACAAAGGAAAGGAAGCCTGGGAAATACATGTCGCTGTCACTGAGAAGGCTGACCTGTCTGCTGGAACCCAAAAGCACTTATCCTTGTTTTTTGTTTTGTTTTTAGGCAATTGGGGTTAAGTGACTTGCCCAGGATCACACAGCTAAGTGTCAAGTGTTTGGGCGGAGGCCGCATTTGATCTCAGGTCCTTCTGACTTCAGGGCCGGTGTTCTATCCACTGCGCCACCTAGCTGCCCCAAAGCACTTATTCTTGACCAGCCTTATGAACTCTTTCTCTGCTCTCCCATACCCAACTTGAGTTTGGCTTATGAAGTCCAACAAACATCACATAGGAGAGCACCTAGTGTGTGCAAGGCACTATGCTAGGCCCTGGGAGAAAAAAAAAGAGAAGAATGGAAACCGTCCCTGCCCTCAAGAAGCTTACATTCCATTACGGGGATACAAGAGAGTTAAGTAAATACAAGGTGATTTGAAGGAAGAGAAATCATCAACTATGGGGAGAACCAGGAAAGGTTCATAGAAGAACTGAACTATGAAGGAACGTTCTAAGAGGCAGAGGTGAGAAAGAAGGGCGTTCCAGGCACCTTCTCCGCAACTGGTAAGTCTTAGTCAGCTGGGGCCCCGAATCACCCAGGATGTGTCAGAAGTGGGACCGGACCCCAGGTCTTCCTGACAAAGGACAGCTGCATCCACTATGCTCGACTGCCTCTCGAATCACTGCTATGACCTAACATCCTCTTTGCCACTTCTCCCTTATCTACAAAATAATGGAGTTGTACTCCTTCAGCTCCCATGACCCTAAGTTGCAGAGGGGTTTCACTCTTCATTGGTGAAGGAATGTGAAGGAATCCTAGATCCCAGACAGACTCAGGGGTTGCCCCCTGACCACCACAGCATCATCGTGATGCAGGGTGACCCCGGATAGCTGAAGGTTGGCTCATCAGAGAGCAGCTTCTGGCAGGGTCCCACCAGCCTGGAATGGTGTCAGGTGATGCCCTTCCCACTTGCATGATGAATGCCAGCCTTGCCACATTTGGCCACAGGGCGATGAATTCTGTGGCCAGGGCAACTTGCAAAGCCCTCAGTCTGCTTTGAGGGAAGGCACACCCATACCAAGGAGATCACAGATCCTTCGAGTCCTAAAGTGGGCATTAACACATGACACTGAGAAAGTTCTCATATTTCCAAATGAGACACTTCAGGTTGCCTTGATGGTACCTTATGCTCCAATGGGTGGTCCTCTCTTGGTTCCAGAAGACTAAGCTAGCTTGGCACTGAAAACAGAAGGGAAGGTGATGGATAAAAAGGGGAGAGTAGAGTGGCAAGTGACAGCCCAGCTCAAAGTTTCCAGGGCCTGTTTAGTGGGATGTCAACCCAAAGGAAGACTATAGAATGCTGCTGGGGGCCAGAGAGCAACAGAATGGGGGGAGAACATGAAAACAAACAAACAAAGGAGGCCTAAAATAAGAAAAGACGTATTTCTCAGAAACTATGAAAATTATGGAAATGCAGATCCAGATAGGGCCCCTCTTAAAATAGCTGCGCTCATTCTCTTGAGATTCCAATCCATTTTCACATAATTCACTAGAGACCCGGTTTTTAAAAAAAGAACAAAGCCATGCCTTTCTCCCTAGCTACATTCACAATGTGAAAAGAAAAGTTAGAAGGAAACCAGCTCCTCTCTTCTGGCTGCAGCCTGATGAGCTGTCAGGGCCAAGGACAGCTCAAGGTCAAAGTGACTCGAAGCACATCCGTACTAACACTTCTAAGCTCTCCGCGCCACGCAGAGAAAAGAAGGCTGGGAAAGAGGGGAGGGATTGGGTTTTTTTTGGTCATTTCTATCAACCAGCAGAGGCATTTCATGGTGGCGAAAGGGACTCACCTGTGAGTGGGAGGTCGGGCAGGTCTAGCTTAGTCATCCCCTTACCGGCTGGCCTCATGCTGCTGTAGGTAGAATGTCGCTGCAGAACGGGAGGAACACAAAAGACAGGTTAGCTCGAGGTGGGTGGCAGGCCCCAGTCTCCCCACAGCATCTCGAAGCCCAGAGAACACAGCCTTAACCAGAGCAGGAATCCTCCCTGGGACAGCACTTCCAAGCGTAGAACCAGGAAAAATGGGGTAGAAGAAGCAAAAGGGAAATTTTAGCTTTGATGTGAGCGTAAGCCTCCCACCAACAGGGGAAGGGGCTGCCCTTTACAGGTCGTGGGTGCCTTCTCCTTGGAGGTCTCCAAGTTGAGGCTGACCTAACCACCTGTCAGTTAAGTTAACATCAGGATTCCTTTCTTGTATCGGCTGAACTGGCTGGCTGCTCAGGGGCCTTGGCACTCTTAAATTCTTGTAGGTTCACGGATTTGTTGGAAGGGCCCTTAGATGGCATTGATTCCATTGTGCAGATGGGGAAACTGAGGCCCACAGAGACAAAATGAATCGCCCAGAGTCACATAAACAATAACTGGCAGAATAGAGATTAAAATCCTCGTCCTTGAATTCCAAATCCCAAGCCCTTTATATAGGCAACACAGTTTTTTTTTTCTACTGGTCATCCAGTCTGCTTAAAGGCCTCCCACCCTATTATGGAGAGGTCTAATCATTAGGACATTTTTCTTCTCATGGAGCCTATGTCAGCTTCTCTGTGACTCTGTTCCCCGTTCTGCTAAGCAGAACAAGGTTCATCCCTCTGCCACTTGTGTCTTCTAGATGCCTGAAACTGGTCCCCATGACTCCAGCCAAGTCACCCCCTTTCTGGGCAAACCATCGACAACTCAGTCAAGCAATTCTCCTGAGATGGTTCCCAGGCTTCTTACCTTTGCTTGGGGAAAAAAAAAAGTAGAGGAAGGAGTTTCTATTTCTGTACTGTCTCTTTTCCATCTCACCAAGAGTAGTTCTAGGGAAGATGCTCCATTGGGGGAATTGAGTTTAGCATTTGATTGGACTTGGGTGGCCGTGGTTCAGGTAACATGAGCTCCCCCTTCAGCTATAGCTAATTACAGAGCTACAGGCCTGGGTTCGGGTGAAGAGAAGGCAAAGAGCCAGGCGTGGCTCAGGCAAGCCACTCCCCAGGCCCTTGGCTTCCAGCCTATCTTCCAATATAAATCCCCAAATCCCTAAATGTTGTGAAAGCCCTTAGAACACTATTAAGCACCCAACCAAATGCATTAATTAAGTACCTATTATGTGTCAGACATTGGGGATATAGATACACAAAAAGAGCGGCCAATAAGTGGCACCGTGGATAGAGCACCGGATGGAGCACCAGCCCTAGAGTATGGAGGACGCAAGTTCAAATCCAGCCTCAGACACATATCTAACTAGCTGTGTGACTCTGGGCAAGTCACTTAACCCCAGCTGCCTCACCGAAAAAAGAAAAAGAAAAAAATAGATACACAAAAAGAAATAATCCCTGACTTCAAGGAGCTTGCCCTCCCTTGTGGGCAAAGAGATGGAGCAGAGATGGGCTCCTTTCCCACGCTCCCTGTTAGCTTACATCCTTGGTACTGTCCCCAAACAATCAACAAGCATTTATTAAGCATCTATTATATGTGCCTGACTACTGTGTGCTAGGGTATGGGATAGGATAAAAATGAAACAACCTACACTCTTGCTGTTCCAACAAACAAGGAAGGGGATAAGGACATACCCAAGTACAGACAGAACAAATACAAATAAACCCAATTACAACCAACCAGGTAAATCCATGATAGTTGGGGAGGAAGGGTACTAGCAGTTGGAGGGATGAGGAGAGGCTCCATGTAGAAGGTGGCATTTAAGCTGGATCTTGAAGGAAAAGAGGGATTCTGTGAGGCAGGGCTGAGGAAGGAACGTGTAGCCAACCTTCCAAACGTGAACCCAGTTTGGCCTTTCTGAGGGCCCTCCCTCCATCCGCATCAGGGCTAACAGTGCTTCAGGCCAGGTGGTAAACTCAAACTGAAACAGATTCCTGTGGCTGCATAACGACTTAGAAAAAGCTCAAATTAACATTATCTGTGTCGCATTGTATTTTTATTTCGTTTGCTAAATATTTTCCCATTACATTTTAATCTAGTTCTCTCTGGGGTTTTCAGTGTTTGACATCTCTGATAAGACAGTGCCTCACTGGCTCTTCATCATCTCAAGGAACACTTGCTTCTAGAGTGTCTAGCACTAGTCTGTCTGTCTGCCTTTTTTGAAAGAAGGAAGGAAGGAAAGAAAGAATAAAGAAAGAAAGAAAGAAAGAAGGAAAGAAAGGAAGGAAGGAAGGAAGGAAGGAAGAGAAGGAATAAAAAAGGAGAGAAAGAAAGGAAAGAAGGAAGAAAGATAAAGAAAAAGAAAAAAGAAAGAAGGAAGGAAGGAAAGAAAGGAAGGAAGAAAGGAAGGAAGGAAGGAATAAAAAAGGAGAGAAAGAAAGGAAGGAAAGAGGGAAGGAAAGAAAAGAAAAAAGGAGGTAAAAAAGTGATTAAAGAAGCCCAGTTGCCTGTAGTACTTTAGTATAAACAAGTTTCAATTAAAGTGGTTTATTCAATTGAATAAATGAGCAAATGAGAATGTCAGGTGGTGTTTTTTTTTTTTAATTAGAGAGAGAGGAATGCAGTGGCCAGAAGGCCTGAAAAGGCAGGAGGTGGTAGTGTTGAGGGGTGAGAGAAAGCAGAAAGGGAAGGATGCAGAAGATTCTGCACTTTGCTAGTTTGCCCCACACGGGCCTGTTCATCTTCACCAGGGCCAGAACAAACAGAAACTGAGCACTTTGGGGGTTTGTTTTTCTCATGCAGCTGCAAATGCAATCAGTTAGTTCTGCTGCTTAAGATTAATGAAAAAACTTTTTTTAAATTTTTATTTTTTTAAACCATACTGACTCCATATAAAGGAATCTCATTCCCCAGGAATTTATTAAGTAATCTATGGAGGTTCTCTCCAGAAACATGCCTTTAGGATGCAAAAACTTTCCCTATGGGGTCTGCTGGGTAGCAGAAATTCATTTTTATGAAGACAATTGAGGTTCCCTCTTTTAGAAAGGAAGAAGCCAAGGTAAAGAGACGTGGAAAGTTGGACTGTGATCACAGAGAGATGATGCTGTTTCCAAAAATATGGAAAAAAATAATCAATTATTTCTAAAGGATGAGAAAGAACAGGGATCACATCTCATGGGCTTAAACAGGAAGCTGGGTGGTGCAGCAGATAGAGCGCTGGGCCTACAGTCAGGAAGAACTGAGTTCAAATGCTTGCCCGGACACTAACTGTATGACCCTGAGCATGTCACTTAACCTCAACTTGCCTCAGTTTCCTCATCTGTAAAATAGAGATAATAATATCCAGGGTTATCGTGAGGCTCCAATGAACATATGTGAAGCCCTTTGCAACACTTTAAGTTCTACATAAAATCTAAAGCAAGGAGGAATCTTTCCCAAGACAGTGTTTGATAACTCAGTCAATCAACGTTTATTAAGGGCCTACTCTGTGCTAGGCACAGGGGAGACAAAAGAAGGCAAAAGACAGAGCTGGCCCTCAAGGAGCTTACAGTCTAATGGAGGAGAAGACATGCAAAGAAGTGTGTACAAACAAATTACATTCGGGATAAATTAGAAATAACAAAAGGGCAGGCCCTTTTAAGGGGCTTTTAGCCAAGAAGCAAAGGAAGCCAGAGGAAGTTGGAGATGAGGAAGGAGAGCTTCCCAGCATGGAGGGCAGCCAGAGATGACGCTTGGAGTCAAGAGATGGAGTGTTGTATGGGAGGAACAGCATGGAGCCCAGAAGAGTATTGGATTGAAGAGTCCACAGGGTAGTCTAAGGTCTAAGAAGACTGAGAAAGTGACAGGGGACCAGGTTACGGAGAGCTTTGAAGGCCAAACACAGAATTTTATATTTGATCCTGGAAGTAACAGGGAGCCGTTGTAACTCATTGTGGGGAGTGGCGAAATGACTGGACCTACACTTTAGGAAGATCACGTTGATGGCTGAGGGGTAGATGGACTGCGGGGAGGGGAGCCTGGAAGCAGGCAAACCCACTAGAAGGTGTGGTAACAATCCAGGTGCGAGGTGATGGGGGTCAGCACCAGGGTAACAGCAGTGTCAGAGGAGAAAATCGAACACAATCAGGAGATGTTACAAAGGTGAACTCAACAGGACTCAGCAACGGGCTGGATGTGGGGAGAGAGGGAGTGTCCAGACTCCAGCAGAACACCTCCGCGGCAAGCCTGGGAGGATGGCAGTGCCCTCCCCAGCAATTGGGAAGTTAGGAAGACGGAAGAATGTGTGGGTAAAGATAACGGGTTGTGTTTTGGACACGTTGAGTTTAAGATGCTTACAGGACATCCAGTTTAAGACATCTGATGGGGAGTTAGAGATGGGAGACTAGAGATGGGCAGAGGTTATTGCTAAATAAGCAGATTTGAAAATCATTTGCCTAAAGATAATAATTGAATTAATGGGAACTGATGAGATCACCAAATAAAATACCATAGAGGAAGAAGGGAAGAGGGCCCAGACCAGAGTCCTGTGGGATACCCACAACTGGATACTGATCAATCAGCCCACGTAAGAAAAGTCAGCCACACCTCTCTCCTTTCTTTGCAGAGACATAGAGACTACGGGGGAGAAATGGTGACTACATCATCAGACTCAGTTGGTGAGGTAGTTAGTTTTGAGGAATTGACCCCTCCCTTTTATAAAATTGTTTGTTAGAGAGGAGAGGGTAAGGGAGGTGACAGATATGGGAAATAATGGTGACGTGAAAACAAAAGATATAAATAAATAGTTTTCAATTAAAAAAAAAAAGGGAAAAGTCAGACACAAAGAATTCAGGCCTAGCCATGTATTGGACTTCCAATGACTTCCTCTCCATCTTCCTTTTTGAAAAATTTTCCTATTGTTAAAACAAATGTCAAAAATAACTCACTGGAGGCCTCTCAGCCTTCCACATGCCCTCACCTTCTGAATAGTGAGTCACAGCGGAACACGACTCGCTCTCAGCTGCCAAGACACCCCTTCC